TCTTGAGTATTGAGCGAAGACAACTGTTAATGAAGGTCTGTGGTTTGTTTGAGATGCTCTTTATGACGCGCAGTGCAAGTCTCTGATCCGTATGTTAAGTAGCACTGACTGACTTCACATTGGAGTTGAAAATCCGGATCTTATTTTTGATGCTGAGTGCTCTTATTTATAAAGCAAGACTTTCCATGCATCAGCAAGCATAGCACCGTCACATCCACTAAAACATTTGACACCTATCCATTTATGTAAGGCCTTTGTAGGTAATCTACATCTTTATGAACCAAAACCTTTCTGTAGAACTTTGATCCTCTCAGGACTGATCTTGTGTCCCATTTCTGTCGAATGTATTGCAGTCGCTGAATTTTTTGCTGCTGACGTCTTTGGAATTACCTTTAGGCATTGTGTAAGTTCTTCTGCTCTTACATTTCCCTGTCTGAAAGTTTCTCCTACACTACACACCGTGAGATTTTCCTGAATTTCATTTGGCATACTCAACTCTGTTGGTTGTCTTCTTCTATTAGATACTTAACTTTTACGGGTGGCAAGCATAAAATGTTTGCAACATGAAAATACTGTCTTACATCATAACTGTTAATGAGTCTTTTTATCACATCCAATGTTTCATTGGATAAAGAAGGAATCGACATAGTACTAACTTAATTCTTAGTAGCAGGTTTCCATACGTTCTAATCTTCACTCGGAAAATACTTTTGTTTTAATTCGTGGAAAATTCCCATTGGGATATATAGAAAATCAAAACAAGTGATTTGGCGATGAGTATTTTTCAGCGAATTTGTTACCAAGCTGTTATGTGCTTCATAAAATAACTGATGGAATGCGAAAATCTCAAAGGCGGTGTAGAAATAATAATAAGAATTTTAAACATTACTTCACAAGATGATAATTAATAGTAAGAAAACACTGCAAGAACTATATTGAATTAAATAAATAAATTAAACAAGTGAGATAATACCAGAAATGTTTTAAAGTGACACTAATCGTGTCAATCGACATAATGAGGAATGCAAAAATTGAATAAACAAAACGAAAAATAAATCGGGTCAAAGTATAAATGGGGATTATCATGCTCCAGCACAGACAGATTATGACCATGAGAGTTGGAGGGGTTGAACAAACTAGTTCTGTGTACGATGATCTAGCTCTTTTATTACGACTACCAAAGCTCCAGCAATATAGATGAATCAGGTACATAACGAACTATAAAGAATGCGGTTGTAGAAATAAGGTTACCAATATCTACCAGATATTCAATCATCGCACTTCTTTTAGCCCCTCTCCCTCTTCTTCGTAACAGCTCAGGATGGTGTTCTTGCACCTTCTTGTACAAAACCCGACTCAAATTTGGCTGAACAACTGAATTAATAAACGCACACAGCGCTGGGCAACTGTGGGACCTTTTCCTTCAGGCCACTGAACAATAATTGTCGACTAGCAAATGCTATTCTCAACGATGTTGAGGCGAATGTCCTTTCCAAGGACTGTGGGTTTTTTGGTAGTTATTTGATTCAAGAATAGACTGAAGGAATTTTAATTTCCTTCTTGTTTCAGCTTTCCCAGTAACTAGACTCTTAGAACTGTCTATCAGATTCCTAGTGGAAGCTACTCTGATGGTAAAGAGATGTGACGAGTAGTAATCCGAACTTTTATTTACCATCCAGTTGCCTTTAGACTAAACAGTTCATTCTCTTCTCATTATCAAAATACCCAGTTTTTCGTTGCATTCTTAAAGAGACTGAAGCATACTAGTCAGTAATCAGGAATAATATATTTCGAACAAAACAAATATTAAGAAAAATGGCAACAATGAAATAAAGTTTCGCCTCATCAACGTGTTTTCTGCTTCTTGTGTAACCTATGAAATGTCTTCCGACATTTTGGTCATAATCTACCATTCAAATTATGTACAACGATAAAATTTAGTACGAAATCTATGTCATTCCTAATACTTTTTAAATGAATGCAAATAGTATGCTCCTCTTCAATTATTCAGTTGCAGAAACAATACACAATATTAGTGTTTAACAACTTGCCTACTTAATAATAGTAAGTAGCATAAATATAGTAGAAAAGTATTTGATTACATCACACAGTTTTGAAAACTGGATTGTGTAGTTCTGAATGTCTCATTGTCATTCAAGACAACAGTATCTACGGCATATTCGAAAATAATATGTGACATACGGGTATTTTTCTTCTCTTATTTTCAGACTACAGGATTTTTGGATTAATTTCATGGGTGGGCTAGCGATTATGTCCACAGGAATGCAGTGAACTGATTGTCGAACGATGTAAATGGACTGAGCATAAAAGACCAGACACTGGACATGATGCCTCGAATCTTCAGGCCTAAATATGTACTTCTTGTTATGCTGCTAATTAATGAACTTTTTGCCTCACTTCTGAACTTCATGTTCTTCCTCGTGTACATCAGTTTGCCGTGTTGGTTGGTCGGTCAGTATGTTCTATTTCCTCCTTTACAGGTGAAGAGGCTTCCATTGTCTTACAATGAGGCAGGTATATAAGATTGATTACTCTTGGATTTCATTGTTTTTACTGTGTTTTTCTATAATTATGTTGTCATTTTCCGAATGCATATTTCACTGACTATTCCAGGGATTTCATCATTGTATTCACAGTCTGCTTCTGGTTAGTAGATTGAGTCGGTTTTAATGTACTTATCCATCACTGAATTATAATTATCCAGTTACCGAAATTCCCTCAGCAATCATCTTTTTCGTCCTGAGTTCTACAAAAGTTTCATTAAGAGCAAATTTACATTCTAAACAAAGCTGCAATGTTAAATTTTTTTCCATTTCCTGAAGTTTAATCTCTAGAGAGCAGCAATCTTGTCTTCCTTCGTCGCTGCATCATTTTTAGCTGATATTTAGTGTGTTAAAAGGTTTTATAGATGAGTCACAGAGATTTTACAAAGCTTCATTGTTTTATTTAATTCAGTTTAGATTTCCCTATCGATTGATTGGACCGGAGTGCTCGGCCTCAGGTTGACATATTGGCTGTTTGTGTAAATGCTTCGACGACGTCTAGTCATGTAACTTGAAGTCAATTGATGGATGGTGACAAGCACTGGAATCCAGCATGCACGCTTAGTCCTATTTATGACTACTGGTCAGCTGGATGTGCTTGCATATCACAGTGAGTGATGGTGTTCCCACCGAGGCTCCAAAGCGGTACCCATAGCTTCAAACACCAAAGCGTTATCCATCAGACCATTAGACCAGCAGTCCTAATTAGGACGAGATGTGCATCCTAGAGTCTAATGTTAGTCACCCTCCACCGACTGACTTCATTGCCTTAGTTGCGCTCTATCTAAAGCTCTTTTGTATTTATTTACGTATCAGGAAAAACACATTTGTTCAGTAAAGAAATATTTCTTTTCAACATCTTCATTTTTAAGCTTTGCAGTTGTATTCTGATCACAGATAGAAGGCATTAACTGTCAGTGAAAATTTCCCATTCGATATGCATGTTATACCAGTAAAGATACTTTACATGATTTTTAAGATTAAGATTTTAAGAAGGTAGATTTGATATGAATTACGTAATTTCAAAAGATTATTAAGTAAGTAAATTGGTCTTAGGGGGTTTAAATGCAGATCAAGTGTTGTAAATGATAACATTAATGAAGACAAAGATGAGGTGAAATCGAATGAAATTAACTAAAAAGTGAACATTATAATGATCAAGGTGGAAAGAGCTGTCTAACAAAACGTTTTTGAACACAAGCGGAGAAAATGCATGCTCTCAGAGTGGCTGGAGTTCGCTCTGCAGGTAACTTCAAAGGATAAATTGAATGGATCTGAGTGACTCTAACTCAAGATGTCATTCATAAATAGAAGACTTCATGATCTTGCTTTCGCGTTTCATCAACCAAAGACGGTAGTGTTCAGTTACGCGTTTCCAGAAAATACACTAACAGTGTCGAATGTAATCAGCTTCATGGAAGCATGTGAGACAATAGATGCTTATTGGGGGTGGATATAAGCAGTGAGTTATGCTCCATACATTGTCAAATCATACTGCAGCTGGAAAAAGTGAGTTTGATACACTTGAACAGAGGATATTTAATTTCTCCTGTAGTGATATCAGCTTTATATTATATCTTAGCTCACACGGTGATATGAGGGAATATCAAAAGTTCTATTAGTATGACATTACTTTGTACGACATAAGTCAACGAAAAGCTATACTAGACAATACGTGTTTTCGTATATCAAATGGACGTTTGGATTCGTCAAAGAGAATGGTTATTTAAACAAAATAGTTTCTGGATATTAAGTATTCTCATAACATAACATAAAAAGTCTAGAAGGAAGCTCTGAATTTAGTTTCCACGCTTGCTGGTATTCATCAGTATGATGTATTAACAGCTCCACGGGAACTCATGTTTTCTCTACGATTATAGTCCACTACATTCACTTTCATACTCAGAGACCATAACTGATACCATTCTTTTAGGAAAAGTTGATTTCTGAGAACTGATGGCGATGACATTCTTAATCTTCACAATTTAGGCGTCAATCACTTTAGATGTGTTCAGTATAACCACGGCAATGAACATAACTCTCATTTCTCTAATTCATACGACTAAAAATAGCAAAACTTGTAAGGAAATAGTGATTACTTGTTCAATCCTCCCATATGTTTACTATGACATTTCAGTAAACTATGTAAGTTAATATTATAAATGTATGTTACGTCTTTTTAGCAGAAGCACTTCACTGACCATTTCAAATGTAGAACAAATACACAATGAAACTATAATCGAAAAAGGTATGGAACAGGAAGATTACTGAGGAATCCCACAATCTGTACGATGGTAAGGAATGAACATATTCGCATCGTTGCGATCTATTTTACGCCATATAACTTGCAATCTGGTATCATTAAATCTAGAAGATACAATCTAAGCTACACTATGGATGATCGAATACTAAAAGTCAGGAGTCATCGACGTACTTTCAACAAAATGTATATTGAGGTATAATATAATAATAATAATAATAATGGTCAATGGAACTCAAAGGTAAAAACAGTCTATTCAGTAATAAATCACATAATGCTGCATATCATGCTGTGATACAAGGGAATTAATGACAGCAGCAGGATACAACAAAAACGTTATACAGGAAAGCACGATAACAATAGAATGCTGAAAACAATACAAAACTTTATTGACTAGATTCCATAATAGTAAGTTTTGAGTAGTAAAAATAAATATTTCTAAATAAAAACGGTAATTAAAGTTTGACAAGCACGACTAGAAATCAAATCAGTCGAATTAAATAATATAAAAACGAAAGATTTCAATGGAGATCTTGGAAATAAAAAATACAAAGTATAATAAATAAAAGGTGGAAATAATAATTTATGCCCTGAATCAATTAGTTGATAAATATAAATATATATCACATGACCAAGTTGAATATAGCTGTGAAAATTCAGCGTATATACAGGTATATACTCCTGTAAACACAGTATTGACAGTACTGTCTCAAATGATATCGAAACGTCAGCTGACTAGAAAGATATATAATACCTGAACGTACAGACTTCAAAGTGATGAAATAAATATAATAAGGCTGGATATTCAAGCAGTGGGAATAATTAGCGAACACGAAATCCAGAGGAATAATTTTCAGTTGAGTAAAATAAGTAATTGAGATAAAATGACGTAAAAATTAAAAATTAATTATTATTGTTATTATTATGGAAGTTGCAGACAGTTCCCTTAATGCAGAATGTGAACGAAGATCTGTCACACTGATCATGCTGTCTAGCATGATTATGAAACATCATCCAGTTAAAACCTGAACTTAGTTGAGAATTCATTCCAAGCAGTTAATAATATGCAAATGAATAAGCAATGAATTATGATCAAATTTGTGTAAACTAGTTCAATTCTTTAGTAAGCGAGGATATTGTCTCTTGATTAACTGGTAGAAAGGCTTTATTCAATCGACTGTATAAATGTATATCACCTGAGTGTAAGGTGAACCACATACCATGCACACGTAGTCTTCTCTGGGTAAGTTGACTCAACAACACTTGATAAGAGTAGATATTTATCATTTGTTGTAATACATTTGCCTTTTTAAAATACATTTATACAAAATACAAAAGAGAAATTAGCAGAAATAACTTAAAATTAAAAAAGTAATAATAATAATTACTTCATAGTCCCTTTTATTGTTCCTTAAACTTAAAGCCAGATCCCGAAGTGACATCAGTTGGAGAATCATTGAAAATCAGGAGGTACTGGACAGCCGCTTCGTACTAGCTTGATGCTCTTTAGCAGTACGCTTCAAAGGATTAGAATTCATGAGCTGTTGGATTCTGTCCTAGACGGTGAATGATCAGTGGGTTTGCATCGTAACCTTAAAAACTTAAGTTAGATCCCGGATGGAGAAGATGCATCATAGGTGCGCCCTTCTGAAGAGTCCCAAATTGGGACAAAACCACTGACCAATATTCCATGATTGTCAGTAGCACTCTAAATGATGTCATTTGTTGACCTGTCCTGACATGCATCAAATTTCTGTAAAGCAACACTTGAAAAGTTCACAGAAATTCTATTCTGCTTGTTTTCATTGCGAAAAATACCTATTCAGACGTGGAAATAAAAACAAACTGTTCAGCGAAGAGTCTATTTTCGGCGAATTCATTCACTTAGCTGTACAATCCGAATTATATATGATTATTTTTGCATGTGTGTACATTAGTTTTGTCTAACAAGAATAAAAATTATTTTGAGTTATTGCTCATGTTGCGACGACAGAAGACAAGGGCCAGGCGACAGATCCTTTATTGAGGAAATCAACAGATATTTAGACATTTTTATGTACATTATTATTCGTCATTACTAGCAGAGAAACAGCGTCTTCTGATTGGTCGTTTTCTCACTGGAAGTTATTCTGTCATATTTTTGTGGCCCCTTCTTTGAAGGTCAGACCATATATCTGCGAATCGTATCCGCCCACACAAAGTCTTTGTTTTTGTTTTTATGATGACCAATATTTGGGAAGTAAACATTGACGTAAATTGCTGTCCACCAATTTCGGCTTGCAGACAGCTCTCACCACAATGTCATCAAAGTATATCAAAGATATGGTGAATAATCAAAATTGTAACTAGGGCTTGGTAGGGAAGATTAGTGAGCCTAGACTTAGGTAACGTAATATGAAAATGTTGCAAAAGAAATTGGATGCTAACGCGGAGTTAAGTCTCAAAATAAATTATGTAGTAGGCGAAAAGGGAAAGCATAACGTTGGTTAAGAAAATGATGATACTAGATGTCATAAGAAAAGTGCACAAAATAGTGATTAAAGCTGAAGTTGGAATTATGTCCAGGGTAGAAGAAGGGGATGGATAAGTTTCTCCTGCTTACGTGAATCAGAGTTTTCCACACGAAATTGTAAGGCCTTGGTAATGAACAGGTATACGAAAGCTTACCGTTTTTGGGAACCTTCTTTTGGCTTTGTAGACAACTTTGAAAGAATTCTATTTGCATACTGAGTGACCAATGTTGAGTATATGTTCAATTATAATACTCCTTATCGATCAATTGTGACCTTTTAGTAACCAAGGGGGAGAATGTTCTTTGACTCTTTTAGATAAAACACTCATCGAACAAACCGCACATGAACAAGTGAATTGATAGACACAGAAGTGGTCAGATGCAATAGCTAATCATTAGAGTTGTTGAAGAACATTGAGCGGCAGGAGGATGAATACCAGTCGGAGTGCAACCGCAATGAATGTTCTTTTCGGGTACTTTGGAATTCTCTTCTTTACGGTGTTACCCAGATAGTGACCTTTTAATGCCATATTTTTATGTAAAGCATCTTCTTTGGAACAGATATGGGGTTTCCTTTGTTAGTTTTGGGTTTTATGTGTTCATCTGTAAAGCCTGGGGGTAGCTATTTTTCGGGCATCTTCCTGAAAAGAGTGATCTCGTCATCTATTGATTTAGGCCTGTATTCTTCGGATCCTAGTTGGGAAAGATATTACCAAATTCTGCTTTCAGTTAATGGTTACTTCGACTGTAAAAGTTCGACCAACAAAGAAAACTGACGGGACTTTAAACAGATCACTATACAGAAAGCTTATATAGAATGGCCAATTGACAAACTTTTGCAGTGTCTATTTTCGTTGTCTTAATTATTGTTTGTGGGCGAAACTATGGTGGATTTTCACCTTGAATTGTGCAGTTTACAAATTGTGAATCTGAAGAAAAAAACTAACCTCGACATCCTCGTGAATCAAGCCGACAACATCTTTACTCAGTAACTCGGCTCTTTACTAATTAGACACACCAGTTATAAAACACCTTTTGATAAGATAGTTTGATTTAAATGGCATTGATCCATAGCCTAAAGATATGCAGTGTTTCAATTAACAACATTTATGAACGTTAATGGTGACAAATAATTGCTCTCATATCTATGAAAACAAAACACATAGTTTACGAAGAGTCTCTTTTCGGCGAATTCAAATGGGTTCAGAAACACTATTGCACGTGGTTACAAAAAGGTAATAGTGGCCGTATAAGCAGTAAAATAATAAAACACCTCGTCAACCCTGGTCATTTCGTCTCAACAAACGCCCCCTTCAAAGTGATCTACAAAGTGAAAAACAACCTAACAAAGGCTATACACCTTCGTCTCCTTTGTACTGCTGAAGGCTTAGCCATTTATTTGAAGAAACCAGAGTTATGCAAACAAAAGAAAATCATTCAACCACTTGTAGTATCATGGTAACAACCATGTTGACTACTACTGACTAGATGTTTGTGTGCTTGTTTTTTTCTAACTCCTTATAACATTTTATAATTTGAGGACTCATACATATTTCCATATTTTCATTTGTTTCTATGCGCATCCTAATTATAACTCACTCATTAAACTATTCATCTTGTTTTATGTGTTGATTAACATTAATAACTATGTAGCATATTTTGCAGTTTATTTCTTACTACTCAAAACTGTTATGATGTTATGTCATTTCGTCCTACTTGAGACTTATTAACTGGGTATGTCTGGTTCTTTAGTGAGTAATGTTGTTCCCTCTAACACTGGAACCCATAACCTATCGTTTGAAATAGAAAGCATTATCCAATAGGCTATTTAGTCAAGAGAGTTTTCTGTTCTACAACGATTATCCATAGTTATTTGTTGAACCAATTTTGTACTTTCTATTTATTGATTTATATTGCATTTTGAAGGGATAGATGCTGGGGTTCCCGTCTCATACAAAGCACCATGAGTCACTGAGGATTCAAGTACGTCTAGCTGAAGAGTCCCAAATACGAATAGAGATGCAAATCTTGGATTCCATCCATCACACAACAACATGTTATTTTTCAAGCATAGTTAAAGCACCTATACTCAGAGACAACATGTCAACAGAGACCAGGTGTCTCAGTTTAATATATTAAATATTTCAATAGGAAATACAAAATAGCCTAAAGGAAATAATAAGAGAAACCATTACTATTAATTGAACCTCTTATCCATACTTGACAATGATCAAAAACCTTTATTATTATTAATATTATTAGAAAATTATAACACTCTTACTTGTGATAATTTATCAACTTCTGTTAATTCATTAATTTTTGTAAAATCAAGTTCAAGTGTTGGACAGCCTGGATGAATTGAAGATGAAAAACTGATAATTCCTGATTTAGGATTATAATTTTGTAAAGTTTTCTTCCCATTCTCCCATATCCATTTTTCTAGGGGACTTGGTTCTGTTACAGCAGTTTCATTGACATTTTTATGAATTGTATGATCATGTATACAATTTCTAAAGTTATTCAATAAACCCATTGCCTGTAATAAAAAAAAATGGAGATACATTTGACCAATTCGTTAGTTAGTTAATCATGTAAAATAGTGTCGTAACACACTGAGTAGGTCATCGAGTAGAACTCAAATAGTAAGCGACAAGTTGAGTGTGGATTTGAAGGTGACACATGAAGAAGAGGAGAGGTGAAGAGGGGATGGAAATTTGTGGGATTTATTGAGCCAACTGAGAGAATGGTAACAAAGATCTGAGTACAGTGGAGAATATTACCTTTTTGACACCGTATGTTCCTTTCAGAACACAAAGAAATGGTCAATAATATTAATTAATTTATTTTATTTTATTTTTGATTACAGCTTGATGCCACACCGTATTTTCAGTACAAGTATGACATTTTCAGCATGGATATCGGTAGCCCAAATTTCTCAGGCCGACCATAGATATCGGGTGTGCGTCGGCAGGGGATCGAACCCCGGACCATGTGCATGGTCGGCGAGAGTCCTAACCACTGTGCCACCGACGCACAAATGCCGCCCACTCATAGGCAGCTGCAAATATTGTTTATATGAAGTGTGGCAACTCGAACCGACGCACAATAAAATAGGAGTGAATTCCCCAGACCTACATGTTCAACAGTAGGCTGAATAACTGAATTTAAAGCAATCCTAAATACAGTATATTTTAATCAAGTTTTGAATATTTATGTAGACTCCGGTTTTATTCAGGTTTCGGATAATCTATGGTGTTGATCAAAGGCTACATGCTAGTTGTCTACAACCATTTTACACCATTTTACAAACTCTAAGCTTTAATGACTTCAACGTTAACTTGATTAGTGGATTTCTGTGGATATTAAGGATCAAACAGTATGCTGTTGATTACTCTCTAATGACTAAGAGAAGTAAACCCTTTAGAAAAACCTGAAGTATTAGATGGTTGGAGGCAATTTTTAGGAAGCCTTGGATCTAGGTTTCATTCTTGTTAGCTCTAGACAGAAAGACGTTTCTACAGTCTTCAAGGAACTCATGTCACCTATGAGATTCAAGGCCTGAAGTATTCATGAACATGTTTTCACAGCACAGGTTTGTCTCATTTATGATCCTCGTAGACACCTCAAAGTGTGTTGACTGAATTATTTAGAGTAGTATGCAATAAAGATAAATGATGTATTGATACAGTATTCAAGAAAATAACTAAAGTCTTCAAAATCACAATGTCCTAATTTAATGAAACAAAACATGAAATAAAGTGAGTAACGATCAGTGGCGAAATGAAAATGAAGGTCATGATAGTATTTGAACAAACAGTCTCGCAATCACTAGTTCCTTGCTGAACTACTTCATTACCAGCCAATCCTGGGGCCCGAATCCTGGCTGATATGGTGCAGGTTTTTGTTCGTCCCATTATGTTTAGTTTCGTGTCTGAGGATACTAGAATAACCATAATTTTCTAAGTTTTATTTATGCGCCTAAATACAGGATTAATAACATCCTGTTCTTTGGTAAGTAACATTTTAAATGTGTCCAGACTTCTCTAAATTGTTTGCAATTTAATCACGAAAAACGTCAAAGGATATTCATAAAATCATTTAATCATTTAATTTAAAAACTTTTTGTTTATTATACTAGAAAATTGAATCTCACGGATTGATATCAGTTTGAGAAACACTGAAAACCAAGGAGTACTGGACAGCTATTTCATCCTAGTTAGGGACTTATTGACTGTAGGTGCCCACTGGGTTTCGAACTAAGGAGCTTCCGGTTACAAGGCAAGCTCGTATGCCACTCAACCACTGAGACTCGATCCAATGGCCAGTGCATGAATTCTAACTTCTACCAATTCTTGTTTTTTAGCGCGACCACCAACCAATGTCATCGGCGGGAACTCCATCCTCACTCTCAATTGGATGGTTCACATTGGGTCTCAAACTTGGATGAAACAGCTCTCCAGTAATTCCACCTGGTTTTCAATCTTTCTCATACTCATATCAATCCGTGGTATAACCTGCAACAAATAGAATTCCTACAAATTAATTCTTTAGAGTTGTGCATTTCATCTAACAAGTGGGTCACTGTTGGTTTTCATTTTAAAAAATTAATTTTAAGAACTGGAAGTTTATTCTACCACTGATGGAATATAGTCCATTTTTCCTAGCCTTATAGAAAGTCTCATACAGGCATTAACATATCTGCAACTAAGCGAAACAATGGATTTGTCTGAGGGAAAATCCAACAAACATTAGAAAGAACAGTGGTACTCTCGTAGGTTTTATTTTGATAAAGTCTCACCTTGATATGATTATGAGCAATCAACTGTGCTCAAAACGTCATCAGTAAATATTACTGTATAACACTGTGAGACTTTATCAAAATAAATCTTACCAATAATGGAATTATATTCTACCATAGTGCACAAGTTCTATTCTTATATAAAAGTAATATAGATTCCTACTGTAAAATTTAAAACAGGAAAATGTAAGTGACCATAAAGAACCAACTACCGGTGAGTAGCTACTTGTTCGTAGTTTAGGACGGTTCAGTATTGCTCACTAACGATCCAACGAAGTACCAAACAAAGAACCGAGGGGAGCAATGAAGCATGGCCATAACCAATCAGTTGGTAGACTTAAATCCAAATTGTCCCGATTTATAATATTGTGTCACTGCCAATCACTGTGAAATGTCAATGGTTGCTTACATCTTCAGATCGGTGAACCAGCATTGGTCGCAACTTCTCGTTTCAACTCCCATAAGATTCAGCTGAAACTCGGTTAATAATAACCAGTAGATTGGATTTCAAATGTTAGATATTTTTGGGGTGTTTAAAAAGAATACAACATAGATTTCATTACAAACTGATGACAGATAGACAGTCACTTGTAAATAGTTGGAAACCAATAACTCCAAACAGTAGTACTATATTAATCAGATCGAAGTAATCTATCGTTTCACTCGTTTAAGGAGGAAACAAATATGTGATAATTTCTCGCTTCAAAATGCATAATTTACGAATGACAACTTTGATTCTCTGTATTACTAGTTTGCCCAAGTAGCTAACCCAAATTTGGATGGTTTGGTATGACTCAGCTGTCTGAAATGAGATAAACGTGGCAAACAACTGATGAGTTCAATCGAAGAGCAGAGAAACGGCAGTATGATACGTTTATGTCACTTCGATCTGGCCAGCAACAGCTATTTGATATAAATTATTCCAACTACTTGCATCAACAAGTAGTATATGTCTGCATCTTCAAGATTTGGGCTCAAGTCATCCATTTAATCGGCAAAAGATAATAACTTTCTAATCATTCACCAGTATGCTTCAATTACAATTAAAAGCCAATACTTGAAAAAATCTTTTAGGCAGGGCGCGTCAGAGACACAGCGGTAGAATGCTCACCAACCACGCATGATGACCGGGGTTCGAACCTCGACTGACGCGCTCCTTCACCTCGCTAAGCCAGTAATAAGACTGGTGAAGAGGGAAGGCTGGGCATGAGGCTAGCAACCCCATCCCATAGAAGTGAAAACCACTGCTACCAACACTTCAAAACTCTAGCTTGAAACTCTCTGTTCCACTGGGAATGTAAGGGAATAAAATCATGATTAGGCGGGATGTCTTTCCTTCAGAATCAACAATGTCTAATTAGAAGTATTTTGGTGAATAATGCTGACCAGGTATGGAATCCTGGATGCTCACATCGTCTAATTTTTGGATATTTCAGCTGGATGTGCCTGCATCCACCAGTGAGTAATGGTGTTTCCACTGAGGCTTAGACAGGATACTCATCGTTTCAGAGACCAAAGCGTTGTGTAGTAGACCACTTCGACCACAACAGCCATCTGTTGCATTATTTAATTCCACTTTTCGAAATTGTAGAGACACTCCATGAAGTGGAGATTACTAAGTCTACGTTTATGAGTCAAGTTTCATTTATTCTGTTAACTGGCTATTTCAAAGATACAATTTAATGTCTGTTGGTCTAACATCTTAAAACTTTAGCGAATAAAACCTATTATTTCAACTAAATATATGGATCAAAGCTAGATCGCTACAAGCAGCAAGTTCGATTGATATTTTAAAGTAGTATTTGACAGTCAGCTAACACGTGATACTGAGATGGATATGTTGTATCAAAGTCCTTCATTAAAAATAACCCAAAAATTGTTGAATTCAATGACACCTTGAAGTACTTACTGATATGAAAAGTTCGCCAAACTAATTGAAAATTAATATGAGGGGATACAAATAGCTGTTAATTACAGAGATTTTAATCAGTATTGATATGGTATACATGTCAGTGTATGTACATGAAATTATTATTATTATTCATTCCTTGAGTTCTGAGAGAGACATAAACCTCTCAACTTTGAAGTTTCATCAACTCTGGTATTGCTTCTACAGAGTGGAGTTGCTAGTATCTGGCCCAACTTCGTCTCTTTTCAGGCCTTACCAAATAGCTATTAAACAAGATGACATTTAGGAATGCCTCGCCCAGGAATGTTACACAGATCTCCCTCGTAGCTGCCTAGCATTCTACCACTGAACCACCGACTCACATACATTTTAAATGTATAAAACCAATAAAACCAAAGAGGAACACAGTTTTCAAATGTAACTAAGAGTGATGTATGTTTATGCATAAATAGGATTTGAAACTGTAAACATCAAGAATTGGTGGACATTAGTAGACAAGCTATTCTATTCCGATCTTGGAATTTCTAGGAATTTGGAATTAGTTTCAACTCAGATCTCGTGTCAAACCAACAAGAGTAATACGATCATCGAAGACTGGAGAGCGCTAGATAGCTCTGTCGTCTTATTTTCAGATTCGTAAGTGGTGCAAACACACAAATGACCCCACCTAGGATCGAACCGAGGACCTTTAAATTAACAGGTGAGCCTGATGATCATTCGGCCACTGGTCTGGAATTCAATGACCGGCGAATTGGAACTTCTGTTATGGCACAATATCAAACTACTACTGTCAACTAGTGTCACTGATGATCGATCGCTTCATCCTAAC